ATATGATTACTGTCTTAGATAGTTAAAAAAAATCTTCCTAACTAGTATCGTGAACTGAGTAACAAATACAAACAAAACCTGGTCTTTTCTTGGTTTATAATCATTTCTCAATACAAAAATATGTAGTTAGAACTATGAGTGCTTAAAATGGAAAAAAAATCTAAGTTTGTCATTATTTTCTGTCAAAAAATAAATAGTTTTAAGAGTTAATATTAAAAAACAATAGACTAGATCTTCGAGTTGAGTGACAAAAAGCACATGCTTATATATTGTGAGAAGTTTGGCTCTGAGAAAATATTCACAATGATTATGCATTTATCTTTGGTGAGAAGAAATAGGATAATGTTTAGATGAATGAGTTAAAGTTTACTACGGACCTATTTTTCTTTTGCGTTAGTATTTTATAATTCTTTCTGAACATTGTAAAGTTTCTATATCCTCTCTAAAGTCACAAAAATTTTGAAACAGATGATCATGTTTTGTACCTTCTATAAAGTGTCTTGTAAATAAAGATCATAACATTTTTATTTTCTTTTTAAATTCAAGCCCAATTTAGTCAATTGGATGAATAGTGTTGCTATTTTAAAAAAGATTAATTTCATTCAAAAAATCCTGATACCCCATGTGCTTTTTTCACATTGCATGCCTCTGTCAAAACATCTCATGTGCCCCGTAAATATATACAACTGCTACGCACTCTAACTTTTTAAAAAACAAATTAGATGGCCAATAAAATAATAAAAAAATAAAATCATGATAAACTTCACTGCATGCTACTTTACTGCTCCCTCTCTGTTACCTTTATCTGGTGAAAAGCTGACTGCACTGAGTACAAATTAAGAACCTTAAGAAATAACAAAACAAAATCAAGTAAAATAAAACAAAGCAAAGTGCATCAAAATAAAATAAAACAGCCTCAGTAATAGTTACTGGAATTGCAGATATCATGTCAGGAAAAAAAAAAAAAACCTACTTTTTCCCTGGCTAGTCTTTTTAATTGCAATATTAAAGAGACAGTAACTATAACACCTGATAGAAATGGTTCATTGTTGTTGCACAGAATAAGAAAAGACAACACTTCAAAATGACTATTTGTTTTTATTTTCACTCATCTTATGGGCACTCACTTATCGAGCTTTTTCACCTTTCCAATTTCTTCAAATGTCGAACAACCACAGAATGTTCGACGTTGAGTTCTTTGGCAACTTCTCATGTAGTTGTAAAAGACTCAGCTTCAAAGATTGCTCTCAATTTATTGTTGTCAACTTCTGATGGCCAGCCACTATGCTCCTCATCTTCAAGGCTCTCATCTCCTTTGCAAAACTTCTTGAACAACTGCTGCACTGTACATTTTTTAGCAGTTCCTGGGCCAAATGCACTGTGACTTGCAAAGAAAAGTGGATTTTATGTAACAACTGGTGATGACCAGCTCAGTGGTGGGATGGAGAAGCTCCAAAGCACTTCTCAAAGCCAAACTTGCACCACAAAAAGGTCATGGTCACTGATTGGTGGTCTGCTGCCGATCTGATCCACCACAGATTTCTGAATCCCAGCAAAACCATTACATCTGAGAAGTATGATCAGCAAACCAATGAGAGGCAACAAAAACTGCAACACCGTTAGCCGGCACTGGTCAACGGAAAGGGCCCAGTTCTCCAGAACATGCAACTGCATGACACACAACCAGTGCTTCAAAAGTTGAATGAATTGGGCTATGAAACTTTGGCTTATCCACCACATTCACCTGACCTGTCACCAAACAACTATCACTTCTTCAAGCATCTTGACAACTTTTTGCAGGAAAAACACTTCTACAACCAGCATCATGCACAAAATGCTTTCCAAGAGTTCATCAAACCCCGAAGTACGGAATCTTACACTCCAGGAATAAACAAACTTATTTCTCATTGGCAACAATGTGTTGATTGTAATGATTCCTATTTTGGTTAATAAAGATGTGCTTGAGCCTGGTTATAACGGTTTAAAATTCACAGTCCAGAACCACAATTCCTTTTACGCCAACCTAGTTCAATTTTTCAGCCATACGACTAAACACCCATGATTTTTATACATTTCTGCATCTCTAGCCTTAGTGTGTTGAACTTTCTTCCCATATTTATTACCTTCTAGATGGCTTTTGGAATTCCAGGCATCAAATCCAGGTTCAGAAAAGGGAAAGGGGCAGTGCTAGCACCAGCACCAGCCATCTCTTTCTCTCTAGAAGATAACCTCTCCAGTAGAATTCCATTTCTGTTTTATTGGGAAAATATTAGATAAATAGCCAGTCTTAGTTTCAAGAGAAGCTGAGATATCAACTGTATGGCAGAAATGTAGGTTTATTGCCTGGGTCAGGCATGTTTTCAGCTTCAAAAATTTAGGTTATCATAGCAATGAAAAATGAGATCACTTTTGGCCAGGCAACTAAAAAACAGCCACTTATTTTCTTAATCGAAACTGAGTTGCAAATAAGAACCATTTGCAAAGCATGTTTTATATTAAAAGCACCATTGTTGGAGTAAAATAGAATATTTGAAGAAATCTATGAAGTAAGTGGTTAAACCCATCAACACCATGGGAATCTCTCACAGTAGAGGAAGAACAAATCAAAAGCACTGTGATCTCCCAATGGGAAAAAATATGACTATGACATGACGAGAGTCATAGAAATAGCAAGTTTTAATCATTTTTTAAAGGAGGAACTTCACTGACTCAATCTGATGACATCTTGGCACAATACTAGATTGTACAATTGGGAAGGCTAAACTTTCTGATCAACTTGTTACCTACTCCACATTGCTACAAAGTTGCTTGGAGTTTCCTTTCTGTATGTGCCTTAGAGAAAGCCAATTCTCCAATCTCAGTCTGAGTAAGAGTGGTTTAATACGTGGTTAATGGAACAGGCATATCCTTTAGAAGCATATCATGATATTTGTAATGATAAAATGATAATAATGATGGAGCTTGGCATTTATTAAATGCTTACTGTGAATTAACGGTATTACATGCCAGAAGGTCTTCTTAGGTTCCAGCAAACAAACCCACACACTATCAAAGGCCTCACCTGGCATAAAATTAACTCAGGGAAACAGGATAGTAAATCCAACACTCCAGAAGGGCAGTTTTAGGAGTTTCTCTTACGGGAAAGAAGTCCTGAAAGCAGTTGAAGGCATAGGCTCTGTCATTTAAAGTCATAGCTCAGGTAGGAGGACATAAGATTTCATCAAGGGGTGCAGAGTTCACCTTAACTTGGAATCCTCAAGCTCTGTAAGCGCCTATATCACTTGTAACAATTTCATAGGCATCCATAGCTTCTAGAATTCCCTGCCAAAGACATGCCAAGTTACAAAAGTAGCCTGAAGCTATTATTTCCCACTAGATATCCATAACACATTAATCATCCTCCCAGTTCAGGGGTCATTTGCTGATCAGAGATAATTTGTGCCATAAGTAATGTTGTGTAGTAATGTTTATTAGGTTTCTAGGGAAGCAGAACTAGAAATTAATCCAAGATCAAATTTATCCACAAAGAGAAAACAAAGCTAACTCTTTGCCCACATATGCATTATTTATTTAATATTTGCAACAAACCCATATGATGGAAAGGGTATTATTTTTATCATCAAAGAGAAATTATGAGCAGAGATGTAAAGTTTCTTGCCTATGATCACATAACTTGTTATTAGTAAAGCCAGGATCAAATTGAAATTTGCTGGTTCTAGGGTCTGAATTCTGAACTCCATGTCTCTCATAATTCTATGGAAGGAGAGGAGAATGTAATGTAAATTGAGCTATGTTCAGAGATATTTCTAAGGCTATTTAGAAATTTTATGAAAATAAAACAACTTAAACTGTTTTAAGTATCAGCTCTTTTATTGTTATTTTGTTTTTAATACTGGAAAATCTAAAATGATTGTTGATACAGGAGTTTGCATTGATGGACACATATCTTTTTCTCCCTCAAAATCTGTCTCAGAATAGGCAAATGTGCACTGATCAACAATCTGTGTTTATTGGAATTTGTTCAATTGCATATTTATTTTGTGTCACATATCCCACATCTAAATAATCATTGAATTTTGTTCAATATGCAGAAATTTGGGTAAATGAGCCTAGATTCAAGATAAGAAAAACTTCTCTGAGCAATTCAAGTAACTTTCCAACAATCAAAGGAACTTGCTACAATACCTATGATTCAGACTATGAACCTGAGACATCCCAATTGCCATAGAGATATCTGCATCCTATCTATGGCTCTTCAATCTTCTTTCTTATGGAGGCATTTTCTGTTCTTACAGTCCTTTGACTAGGAACACAATTTAAAATATTTCACAATTGGTATGGCCCTGGCACTAATTAGTTAAAACAGGTGCTGGCCATAGTGAAAGAGAAGATCTGTATATAAGCTTTGTAGAACATTTTACCTACTACTTGGTCAATATTTGTTAGGTCAACCAGCTTTATATTCCCCTGAGACTCAAAGAAGGGAGAAGGAGAGGATATTTAGCCATATTGAGTCATGAATATATGGCTAAATATCAGCACTGCATCTCTCTCTGCTTTGACTTTCAATGAATATGAGTTTTGTAGAGGTAAAGGGTATTGATAAGATGATATGAAATTAGGTCTTGGGGTATAACATACTTGTGCAATTTCTTATGAAAGTGGGATTTGAGAATCTGGATCTTTGAAATTGTTACGTGGAAGTCTACCAAATTTTTTTATTGAGCTGTCCACCAGTAAATTCCCTTACTGTCCACGAAATAGGAATCCCAGGAAGTTTTGAAAATTATTCATGGCAGGGTAACATTCCAAACATACTCAGTAACACTCCCCACATATTTTTGGGGGGGAATCTTTATTTTAACAAATTCCCAGGTGATTCTTATGCAGCTAGTCCAATCTTAGTTTGAAAACCCCTGTAAAAAATAAATGATTCATAAACTTTCATTTGTATCAGAAGGTCCCAGACAATATTTAGAGAAAATGTTGGCAAATTATATTTATGTTCCCTTTAAGCCCATTCTGATTCCTTGAGGAGGCCCTATTAAGATTCTGCTATTTTCGCCTCTCCCAAGACCTGTTGTATATGAGTCCGGAACATCCTTAGGATAGTGACATCTGCCCATCACTGCCTTCCTGAAGGCCTCCTTCACCTCCTTGTTCCTCAGGCAGTAGATGGCTGGGTTGAGGGATGGTACAATGACAGTGTAGAGCACAGAGATAATCTTGTTGTGGTTGAAGGTGTACATGGCCCGGGGCCGTGCATAGGTGAAGAGAGTGGAGGAGTAGTAAATAACAACCACTGCCAGATGAGTGGCACAAGTGGAAAAGGCTTTGCGGCATCCCCTGAAAGTAGGGATCCTCAGGATGGCTGCAATGATGGCAGTGTATGATGAAACCACAGCCAACAGAGGGAGTAGAATCATCACCAGGGCCAGAAGGAAGTCTACTAGCTCTGCTTGCTCCTTGTCAGAGCAGGTGAGGTTGAGTAGTGGTGAAATATCACAGAAAAAGTGGTTGATAATGTTGGGTCCACAGTAGGACAATTGGGAAATAAAAAGAAGCTTCATCATGGAGCTGAAGAAGCCACTGCCCCAAGAGGCAGCAGCAAGGCGAGTGGCCAGACTGGAAGGCATGAGACTAGGGTAATGGAGTGGTCCACAGATGGCCAGGTAGCGGTCATAGGCCATAACTGCCAACAGCACACATTCAGTACAGGCTAAGGCAATAAAGAAGTAGAGTTGGGTCATGCAACCTACATAGGAGACTCTACTATCCTGGGTAAGAAAGACTGCCAAGAGCCGAGGAATGGTGACATTGATGTACCAAAGCTCCAGGAAACAAAGATGGCCAAGGAAAAAGTACATGGGGCGATGAAGGCTTGGAGTGAGCCATATTGTGAAGACAATGAGTGCATTCTCCAACAATGTCAGAAGGTAAATTGCAAAGAAAAGGACAAAGAGGAGCAGCTGGAGGGGAGGAGTGGTAGGGAAACCCACCAAGACAAACTCTTCGACATGGCTTCCACTCAAATTTCTCATGGTCTCTGTCCACTTAAGTGCCTAAAATAAATCACAGGAAGAACAAGAGGTTTGAAAGGTAGGTGCAACAAACCGCCAACATACTCTCACAGGTTATAACCACTGAAGATGCTTAGTGGTATATTAATTATTATATCATTTTTCCTCTTCACTTTGCTGTTTTTTCTCTCACCTTATAGGAAAAGTTAACAGACCTGAGTACTCAATTACCTAGCGATCTTAACTACAGTGGGTATTTGATAAATACTTTCTGAGTGATTTCAGAACTGCCTTGGCATTTTGATTCTTGTCCAGGATGTACTCTTCCTTTACATCCCTTAGAAACAACTATAAACTCCTAAGCCCACAGCACCTTTACTCAGTAGTTGTTGAATGAGTGAATAAAAGAAGGTGTGACCTCAAGTTGGAGCCTACAAGCTTATCTCTCAAGGGAAATTGTACTAAGAGGAAGCAATAACTGAGGGAGATTTCTTGAACTATAATGCAAGGCAACATGACAGTATGCAGATTGGTTTGAAAAATATTCATTTCCAAATGGAGAGACAATCCAATACAAAGGAGATTATGAAGCTCTGCTCCAGAGAATAGTTATTTTTCCATTCACTTTACATTTATTTTTGAATACATTTTTAGTGCTAGAATTAGACTGTCTTATTTCCAGGAGGTATAATATGTTAAAAATTGACCTCCTGAAAGTTGTACATGTCTTAATTCCTGGAATCTATACATCATATGGCAATTATTTTGCAAATATGATTAATTAAGGACTTTGAGATGGAGCGCTTATCCTGGATTTTCTAGGTGGGCCTTAAACACAATGAAAAAGGTCTTTACAAGACAGAGACAGAGTGAAACTTGAAACAGATGCACAGAGGAGAAGGCAATGTAAAGATGAAGCAGAGAGAGATTTAAGGATGCTGGCCTTGAAGACTGCAATGATTTGGCCACAAGATGTTTATCTTGAATGAATGCCCACAGCCATCAGAAGCTAAAAGATGCAAGGAAGAATTTCTCAAGAGCCTCAAGAGGGAGTGCGGCTCTGCCTATGCCTTGAATTGAGCCAAGTGATACTGATTTCGCATTTCTGGCCTCAAGAACTGTGAGAAAACAACTCTCTGTTGTTTTAACCCACCACATTTGTGGCCGTTTATTACACCAGCCATGGGAAACTGATGCAACTGGGAAGGCAGGAAAATGAAAGAGGAAGTCATTTCCCCAACCATTCTTCTATGCTTTTCCAGTACTCTATTAACATTGCCAGTGACCTGACATCTCCAGGGAGACCCTGGTAAAATTACAAGTCTGACTTGAGATTGGGTCACATGTCATTAAGCATTTTCATTTTTGGTGTGATTTAGGTACCTGTCTTTAAACATTATTTTCCTCTAAGAAACAAAAAATGATATACTAATTTACATAGTTTTAACTTGACATCAATTTTTTTTTTTTTTTTTTTTTTTTAAAGATGAGTCCTTGCTGTGTTCTTCAGGCTGGACTCCAACTCCTGGGCTCAAGGAATTCTTTCACTTCAGCCTCCTGTGTAGCTAGGACTACAGGTACAACATTTATTGTTTTATCAGACATTTATGTGGCCACAGGGAGTCTAACTTTTTACTGCATTATGAGAATTGAACTTTTAAATGAAACAGATTACTTCTTTATATATTCAATGAAATCTAGTGAAATCTAAATATCAGTCCTATGGTAATGATATCCACTGATACTTGTTTAAACAAGTACACAAATGAGCATATCTTTTTAAAACTGGAAATTTTACATCACTTATTTCACCAAAGTCACAATTCATGGTATTGTAATATATTTATAATTGCAAGTCTTTTATTGATTTCTCTGTATCTACCTACATGTTTTTTGTTTCCTGTACTTTTAAGACTATGAGTGCTTTATAAAAGATTTTCTTTAGCTGTTATATAATTAGCATACATTGCCGGTCGCGGTGGCTCAAGCCTGTAATCCCAGCACTTTGGGAGGCCGAGTCGGGCGGATCACGAGGTCAGGCGATCTAGACCATCCTGGCTAACCCGGTGAAACCCCGTCTCTACTAAAAAATACAAAAAAACTAGCCGGGCGAGTTGGCGGGCGCCTGTAGTCCCAGCTACTCCGGAGGCTGAGGAAGGAGAATGGTGTAAACCCGGGAGGCAGAGCTTGCTGTGAGCTGAGATTCGGCCACTGTACTCCAGCCTGGGTGACAGAGCGAGACTCCGTCTCAGAACAAACAAACAAACAAACAAACAAACAAACAAAATTAGCATTCATTTACCTAAAGCAATACAAATATAAATATATAAAAAATCTAAAACTATATTGAATAAAATGTTTAAATTTACTGGAAAACTATCTCATAATAATGTATGTTATGCTTTTGTCCAATGTTTGTGTGTATTGTAAGACTTATTACCACAATGAGAAAGATTTCAGCATCGATTCTATTCTGAATTTTCATTTTGGAGGTGTAAACACTAAGAAAACTAGTTCACATATAAGTGATATTGAGGTACCATAGCTCCATGAATGAAAGTTTGTTTTGTTATAGAAATAACACTAGATTATTTAAACTTTTTATTAGTTGTGTGCCAGAAAATATTCAGTAACATATCATCAAAATTATTTTCATTCATCTATTAGCTGACAACTTGATTAGCTTCTATTTCAACTGCATTGAATGCAAAAGGTTGTTAACCACTGACCTGCAAAAGAATCTGATACCCAGTTATTAGCCCTTTACTTTCTCGACACTGACTTTGGCATTGACACTAACTTATGCTCTTGGACACTTCCATATGGCAAGATTTTGCTATGCCTTTCCTTGTTAAAAAAAAATGAAAAGAGAAGTGGGAAAGGACACTTTATCTAGCAGATCAATTTTAAGAGCTCTTAAGGGAGTTGAAGATGAGAGAATCAGTCCTTTGGAACTATTCCTGCCTGGACATTGGGAGATTTTTATTTTTATTTTTGTACCCTCAAGTGTCCAAAAAGTCCAGTTTGGAAGCAGTGACTTTAATGCATCAGATACATTTCTGAGTGAGAGTTTAAAGAGAAAGTATGTGTGGTAAGGTTAGGGACAGGGTAGGAAGGAAGCCCAACATGCCTCAGGAGTAGGTAATAACAGAGGATGGGAAAAACTTGAAAATGATGGCTGGAAACTCTCAAGAGACAAGGTAAGGGAATTGAGATGCTAAGGCAGACTGAACAATGACAGAACATCTGAAGAGGGACTTGTCCTCACCCCTCTATTATCAGTGTAACAGAGCAGTAACAAAACATAGTAGGCACTCAATAAATATTACCAGAGTGAGTTTCAGTCTTGATTTGTACAGTCTTGAATTTATATCATTCAGATTCATAATATATCTTAAAAATATAGATAATTGAACTAAAGGAAAACTAGGGTTCTTTTCCAGTTATTGCATTGCATAAAATTGGTTGAAATTCCAACTTACCAGAGTCAGTCCTGAGAGATGTGGGAGAGAAGTTGTTGGAAAATGGAGTGAAGGATGGGAAGCAGTCTTAGAAATTTACTGACTGTTCACAAGTTTGTTGGAAGCCAATCTTGCTCTGTAGCTACTGTGGCTTAGATTGTCTGCTGATTCAAAGTCTGCAAGTTGGTCCCCTTGTGCCCAGAGGTGCCCATACTCCTACCTCTTGTCCACTCCTCAGTAATATTATGTTATCATCTTCATGAGTTTCAAGCTCAGTTGTTGAAAACTGAACCCTTTTTGCTATTTCACCTGGCCTGCTACTGCCAAGAACTTTCTTCTCCAACCAAGGCAACTTCAGCCCCTATTGTCCACCAGAAATGGTCTGTTATTTTATTCTTTTCCAGCTTTCAGTCTGCTCTCCCTTTTTAAAGACACTCTCCTCGATAGACTACTTTTGAATCATAGTACTCAGATCCCTTCTGTAGCTCTGAGTATATCATGGCACTGTGCCCTCTGAACTCTTCTTGTATTTGTTCTTTTTGTTTGTTTGTTTGTTTCTTACTTGCTTTAACTTCTAGGTGTGTCTTCTCCATCATCAGTCTGGGAGCCCTTCCTCCTCTATTAGTGCTGCACAATTTTTATACCAAGGGAGGATTCTACCATCAGGGCAGCAGAGTACAGCTTAGCCTGCAATGTTAGCAGTCACACAGTGATGATCTCTTTAAACATACCCTTCTCATTTGGCAACTTAGATTCCAAGTAATAATTAATGAGGCACACCTTGAAGATTTCTCCCATTGCATTTTCCCTCAGAACCAAGAACAGCTCTTTATGGGTTGGTCTTCTCAGGACTAGATGATATTGATGCTGTTGTACAATTTATCTTTTATTTGCCTTTGAATGCTCCCCTTCAACATTACCCTCCCCTTTACTCCTGTTTTCCATTACTCTTATTTATTCCTGCAGTTACATCAGAGTTCTTCAAAACACCACTCTGTTATTTTACCTCTCGTCTTTTGCATGTGAATAAACATAATGAACAACAGTGTCTCTGTAAGGACTTTGTCCAAAAGGTCCTTCACACTCACAGCTGCTATTATGACCATGACTCTATTAATAAATCTATGGGGTAGCTATGTATCTTCCCGGATTTTTCCTCCGTGGTAGCAGAGATCTCACTCATTGCTCTATTCTAGTTAAGTTCATTACTTTGGCCATAATACATAACTGATGCATATATATCAAATTAGTTAAGAAATAAATAAGGTAATACTTTAAGAACTTTGGAATTTAAAAGGTAGAATGTTGTTTCAGGGGTGGAATATTGAACCTGTTTTATTATTTGTAAAATAGTTCTGCTGCTGCCACTGCTGGTAACATTTGTCATTCCTACTTCATTAGACTATATGACATTAAAAGAGATAATTAGCTGAAAATTATTTGCCCATAATATCACACAATTTATTACTGTGAAGCACGTTGGTGATGCCATAGCTCTGTGGGCCTGAAACCATGTAGATGTCACTTGGATCTTCCAAATTAGCTATTCACACCAGCACA